CTTTGTCCCAACCTAGCACTAGCAAAGAGGACTGAGAACATAAAGGCTTCATCAGATCAGCATCTCTTAGCATAATGTGTAAAGAGAAAAACCAAAAGCTATCCATTTGTCCATCGCTGGTTCCACCTACGCCTCCTTGCACTGCATTGCTGCTGCAGTACTATTTCCTGTTTCCTCATTTGCAGGAGTAGATAGAAGTTAGCTCATGCTGAATCAATGGAGGAATGGGAGCGGCTGTTTCTGCTCTATATGCAACAGAGAAAGTTGAGGGGAAGAGACAGGAGGACAAGAGAGCATCAGATAGAAAGAAGGACAGTTGCAGAGGATCACAGGTTCAATCCCAAATACCTTCAGGTTAGGATAGGACTCTCCCCTTCCTGAAACCCTGGAGAGCTACTGCCAGTCAGTGTAGTACCAAGTTAGATCGACTACTGGTCTGACTTCGTTTAGGGCAGCTTCCTCTGTTCCTCAGTTCTACCCTAGGATGAGGTCCAAGAGCAAAGACCAAGGGTGGTTCTTAGCTTTGATCTCTGGTGTAAAAGGGGCTGAGAACCTCTGAGAACTGAGGTATTACAGAGAGCAGCACAAAATGGATTTGTTGTGTGTGTTTACCTAGCCTCTGCTGCTTGGGCGTTAGGAACTGGAAAATATCTAAGCCATGCTGTTCGCAACAAGCAGGTACAGGGTGGGCAGGTTGTGGGGTGAGAAACTGAGGGTAGACTGGTGAGCAAACTGGAGGCATCATGGTGACGAAGGGAGGCACAGCTCAGAACTTGCTGTCTTGAGGGAAACTGAGAAGATAATAATTACCCACACAGACAGCCTCGCTGATCCACAAAGTACATTGCTGAAGCTGCCTGGAGCTTCCTTTGTTGGCCTGACAATAGGAGTATTCAGACAACAGCACAAACCCCTGAGAGAAGGGAGCCCTGGAAGTTGGAGGACTCTTGCTGTCAAACATTCTGCATTCTTACAAACATAGGAAGCTGCCTTATGCCAGACCGCTGGTGCATCTAGCTCAGTATTTTAGACAATATTGGAGACAGTGGCTCACCAGGATTACAGACACAGGACATCCCCAACCCTACCTCAAGATGCTGGGGATTGAACCCAAAAAGCAGATACTGTCCCATTGAGCCATGGCCTTTCTCCTTCTTGTAGTATTAGTGTCACTGAAGGTTATCACAAAATAAGTAAATAAATATGAGCAGTTTGTTAATCCATTAATACAGCGAGGCATCGAATTGCAATACAGTGGTACCTCAGGTTAAGTACTTAATTCGTTCCGGAGGTCCGTACTTAACCTGAAACTGTTCTTAACCTGAAGCACCACTTTAGCTAATGGGACCTCCTGCTGCTGCTGCACCACCAGAGCCCGATTTCTGTTCTTATCCTGAAGCAAAGTTCTTAACCTGAAGTACTACTTCTGGGTTAGCAGAGTGTGTAACCTGAAGCATATGTAACCTGAAGCGTATGTAACCCGAGGTACCACTGTACAGTAATACCTCCGTGAACATCTGCCTCGTCTAGCGTCCATTACGGTGAACGTCCACAGCAAACCCAGAAGTACTGGAATGGGTTACTTCCGGGTTTGCCACTCGAACATGCGCAGAAGTGCTAAATCATGCTTCACACATGCACAGAAGCGCAAACCGCGTCCTTTTTGGCTAGCGGCGAGGGCTCCGGAATGGATCCCAGTCGCAAAACAAGGTACGACTGTACTGTATGCTGCTAATAGACACCTTTAAAAGCTGTCACAGAAACTTAAAATATTTGAAAACTAAAGTAATCCATGAACACAGGAGAGCAATACAGCTAGATTTCATCTGTCGGCAGTAGGTAAAAGCCCTCAGTAAAACATTTGCATATCCATTAGTCTCTATATAAAGCGTTGTGAATGGGTAATATCATTTTTAATGCTTTTAAGACCAAACTGGGGGAGGTGGGGGGGAGGGGGAGATTAATACCCACCTGAATCCAGAAGCTTTGTTTTTATTGCTCAAGAAACAATCATATCTTTCATGATTGAAAACAAAAGCAAGAAAGTTTATGTAGCTTTTATAAAGGGAGCGTTCTTGGAACTGTAAGGGAGATGGTGAATGAACAACAGAAAAAGGTAAGATTATCAGAACATGGCTGAAGACATCGTGTTGATTGAGAATAAATATAAGTAAGCTTACCTACATACTAGTCAGCCCCCTGGCCTCACCTGTAAAGCAAGAATCTGAGCCACAAAGCAGGAGTTGTAGGAAATGGCAACTTCTCTTAAAGCTTTATTATCTTGCAAAGCTTATTTCTTTTCTCATCTCAGTTCCACTCTATGGAATCCATTTCTTGACAAATTATCCTCTCTCTTTTCTTAACCCCTCCTCCCTCTGTCCACTGCCCACTTTGAGGATCATTGCTTTTCCATTCTTATCACATGGTCATCAACATGTGACACCATGGTTAAAACATCTGCACTAGTTGCCCATCTACTACCAGGCCAGGTTGAAGACCCTTTAGTTAATTTACAAAGCCTGGAACAACTTAGGTCACCTGAACCCTTATATCCCAGGTCCATCATGGAGCTCATCTACAGGTGCATCATTAGTCATATTCCAGGTTGGTAACGCTCCTCTGATAGCATCAAGAAACTGAGCTTTTAGTGCCATTGGCCCATTATTGTGGAATACCCTGTCAACAGAGATTCAGCAGTAATACTGTATTTTGTTTTAACTTTCAAGCGTCTGCTGAAAACATTTCTATGCCACCCTGCTTGTGCAGGCAATTAAGAAAATACCTCTCCGGAAAATCTTGGCTGATCTCTGTTTTTCAGTTTCTACATAGTTTTATTCAGTGTGTTTTTTTCTGGGGAAAAGGTGGGGGAACTCACTATGAGGTTGGTTGGTTGGTTGGTTGGTTGGTTGCGGGCCCAGTCAGTGCCACCCCCACCCTGGCACTGGATAAATGTAAGGTGTGATTAATAATCCCAAGCAGACAATGATCTGGATTAGAAATGGCCACAACTTTATTGAGTACAGAGATAGGTGGATTTTTGGCTCAGGCATTGGGTGTATATCTGTTCCACTGACACAAAATTAATTATTTAATTTAAAAAAGGTAAAAGAACTCAGTTCCCTCGAGTTCCAGCTAAAAAACAAACCTGATTTTATTCTATATATGTTTGGTTGTTGTGAACTGCTTTGATAATTTTGAAATGAAAATCAGTATACACATTTTTAAAATAAATAGTAAGTAAATAAATAAAAGAGCAAGTCACTGTGATAATATTTGTTACCTGTTCACTGATTTTCAACTGAAGGACTGCACCCCTCCAGCTGCCTGTAGCAGATCTCAACCATAGGTTGCAGACAATGGATCCCACCTCTTCCAATGGGGATCACATTTGTAACACATCAGGTTTTGAAGTAATTTCCTTGGCTTATAGCAACATTTTATTGCTTCTGACCAGACTACACCACAGCAAATGAAACCTGGATTTCTTATACTGTATTATCAGGCACAGTATCTGAAAATACTGTAAATTTATTCCTGGAACTGGTAAGACATTTGCATGGGGACAAGTGCAACATCCCCGAGGATGTCAGCAAAATTGCTTTAACTCAGCTGAGTGTAGAATAGGACCAGCTGCCCTGCTAGAAAAAAACAGTAAATACCATTTCCTGCATGTGCTTGAGCAAATGATGATAGATGATGCTGTATTTTGTTTCTTAGCATACCATCTTCTCTGAGTTCAGCTAAACAAATGGAAATTGGATGCCTCTGCCTACAGAATATTTTATTTATCCCCACTTTTCTCTTGCATACTGTGGACAAATCGGTATAAATATTTCAAGTCATTTCAGCTGTGGCCATGCGAGGGGATTTTGTATCCCGCAAGGTAGATTAGGCCCACAGCAATCCTGCAAGGTAGATGAGGCTGAGACCGTGGCGTTGCAAGGACCACGTAGCTTTCAAGATGAGTGGGAATTTGAACTTGGATTTAACTATACTCAGCCCAGTGGAGTCTGGTGCATTAGGGCGAATGGGGTGCTTCCCCACCAACCTCTGCCAGTCCCCACCTGCCTTCCTTCTTACATACAATCAGTCCAAGTGTAGTGGTTAAGAGCGGTAGTCTTGTAATCTGGTGAACCAGGTTCGCGTCTCCGCTCCTCCACATGCAGCTGCTGGGTGACCTTGGGCCAGTCACACTTCTTTGAAGTCTCTCAGCCCCACTCACTTCACAGAGTGTTTGTTGTGGGGAAGGAAGGGAAAGGAGAATGTTAGCAGCTTTGAGACTCCTTTGAGTAGTGATAAAGCAGGATATCAAATCCAAACTCTTCTTCTTCCTCCTCCTCATCAGTCTCAGTGTTGCCCCTTGTAGAAATGAGCGGCAGGGTGGGAGTTGGGGTGGGGAAAATTGGTTGGCTCTGGCTTCGCCTGCTGCTTGGCTCCCTGCTAAGTATAATTGTTTAATTGTACACTGGAATGGAGAATAACTCTGGATGTGTCTGGATGTGTAAATTTCCACTCCAGCTAAATGCAAAGAGTTGCAGACAGCCTAACAAGTTAATGACTGACTGTATTGCCAATGTATCTCTGCTGCTCTGTCAACTGTTTGACTTAGATCACATAAAAAAATGAGTTTCGGCTCTGTGCACATGTTAATCTGTGGGCATCCATTTTGTGCGAGTTGTTCTCTCAACCCACCAAAGAGGATGGTGTGCTAATGACTCTCTCTCCAGACGAAAACAGCCTGTAGGCCCACAAAGTCTTTGCAGAAAGAAAGAACTTTGTTTTCAGCTCTGGATAAAGTTATTTTCATATTTCTAAGATGTTATACCTGTGCTGGAACTAGCACAAAGCAATATGCAACTATATGGATGTAACATTATTTGTTTTGTGTCTGTTTTGGAGGAAGTTCTGTTAGTAAAGTTTTGGAATTCATATTTTTTGACTGGACAATTTTTATTTCAAGAAGAGTCCACTTTTATTCATCTTATTGGCTCCAAATGAGAGCGAGGGTGGTGTAGTGGTTAAGAGCTGTAGACTTGTAATCTGATGAACCGGGTTCACATCCCCGCTCCTCCACATGCAGCTGCTGGGTGACTTTGGGCTAGTCACACTTCTTTGAAGTCTCTCAGCCTCACTCACCTCACCAAGTGTTTGTTGTGGGGGAGGAACGGAAAGGAGATTGTTAGCCATTTTGAGACTCCTTAGGGTAGTGATAAAGCGGGATATCAACTCCAAACTCTTCTTCTTCTTCAATATTGATTAACTACAATACTCCTTGCCTGTTCCAATGCACATCAGCCACCCCTAGTCTAACCCAAACCATATAATTTAAAACAATTCTTTAAAAAGATAGTTAAAAATGTTCTTCTTAAAAACCTAAAAACTCCCTTAAAAGAATCAAGTCTTCAAAGAAATTATATGATCTAAGTAAGTCTTTAAAGTCTTTCTTTTAAGGGAGTTTTTAGGTACATGCCTCCTAGTGACAGTAGATGTGACAGTCGTTCTATCAGTTTCTCTTTCTTTAGCCCAGTAGTAGAGGGGGAAAGATCTCAGGATCAATCCTTCTTCAGGTAAAGGTAAAGGACCCCTGACAGTTAAATCCAGTCGCAGACGACTCTGGGGTTGCGGTGCTCATCTCTCTTTACAGGCCGAGGGAGCCGGCATTTGTCCACTCCACAGACAGTTTTTCTGGATCATGTGGCCAGCATGACTAAGCCGCTTCTGGCACAACGGAACACCAATACCATAGCAGTGCACGGAAACACCGTTTACCTTCCTGCCGAAGCGGTACCTATTTATCTACTTGCACTTTGGGGGGTGCTTTCGAACTGCTAGGTTGGCAGGAGCTAGGACCCAGCAACAGGAGCTCACCCCATCGCGGGGATTCGAACCGCCAACCTTCTGATCGGCAAACCCTAGGCTCAGTGGTTTAGACCACAGCGCCACCCACATCCCATCTTCAGGTAGGGCTGGAAAATCTGGGATTTTTTCCCCTGAAATCCAAGAGAGCCTCTGGAAGTCAGTGTGAACCTACGTTCTTCAATCTTGGGTCCCCAGATATTGTTGGATTCCATTTATCATCGTCCATGACTGTTGCCTAAATTGGCTGGGGATGATCAGAGCTGTAGTCCAGCAATACTATGTAGACAATACTATGAAGTTGATGGACCAATGGTTGGTTATTTTTCATACTTAAAAAAAAAAAATACAGGTGAATTTTTAAAAATGACATCCCACAGCCGGATGTGGGGAAGCAGGTTGCTGCTGAAAAGGAAACTGGCATGATACTGATGGTGCAAGAGCATTTCTGCCATGCATGCACCTCAGCTTGACTCACAATTTTTTGAATACATTTTTGCAGCTTCCAAAGCATACAATCTCATAAAAGAGAGTGAATCTAATTGACCAGATACCTCTCTTCCAGTCTGGTGAGCTGCAGATTACTAGGTGAAAAAATTGGTAGAAGGGACCTTTAATAAATAGGTAATAAGAAGATACGGGGACAAAATATGAGATAATGGAAGATAAGTTTTCTAGCACTGTATGTGACAATTTCATCATAAATATTCAAATACTGTGCTATATCATCAGGTGGAAAAATTTTATGATATTTTTATCTCTCTCTCTTTTTTTCTTTTCTTTTTTTTTCAAAACCACTTGCATTTTTGTACCACTCTGTGTTTTTACATATTTTAAGTTGCTGTTATTGAATATTTTTACATGAGGATTGTGCATTCGTGCAAATATATATGTTTCTGCATCCATAAACTAAAAAGCCCATGATACAGTCTGAGTGCAATGTAAACACATGTGCTGGGGAAAAAATGTGATCTTTACTTAATGCAAAAAAGAAGATTACAATTGAATCTTCTGTTGCACTGCTGGAAAACACCAATATTTTTGCTGGTGAACATATTTTCCATGTAAACCCATTGTTTAAGTTCAAAAACTTTTAATTACTGTAATTGCTAAACAGAGGAGGTGGTTTTGGGGTTGTTGTTGGGTTTTTTTGTAATTTTGCACATGCCTGGTCTCCACATACCATGCAGATTCCTGAAAGAGGGCAAAATGTGTTGGGGGATGAATTGGGTAGTGGATGAGGGAAAAGGATAAGTAAAATTGTTAGCAAGAGGCACAAAAACCCTTTGTATTTCCTGCGCAATACTTAGTGGGTCATCAAGCAGTCTTTCCAGTAAATCACAGCGATTGTCCTACACTGGAGCAAACAGTTAATCTTCTGAGCTCCTAGAGATAGCTGTGTAGGATCGATTGGTGGGTTTATGATGTCCATGAAGCTTTACTGTGGATTAAATGACAGAGCACCACAGTCTCTTAAATTTGTGGTCCGACCAAGATTGATCTGGTGACCTTCTTCGTCTCAGCGTTCAGGTGTCACAGAGATGTGTGAGGACAGCGCCATTGCGTTCCCTTAACACACTGACTCGTAAGAACATATATAGAGTGGCTTTTACGGTTTCCCATACAACACTCACTCCTGCAAAGCAGGTGTGTGCATATGGCAGTTACAAGCCTATACCCCACTTACCTGGGAGCAAGCCACACTGAACTCAATTGGACTTACTTCTGAGTAGATATGCATAGGATTGTGCTGCCTGTAGAAGAATAAAGGGGTATGATCTACAATGGAGACATTTCACGGGGGAAATTCTATTTCATTTCAGAGGCATTCTACAAAGCAATGTTCGCATGTCAGGTCGTGTCTTATCAGAAGATTTCTGCATTCCCCGTGTTTCAAATATTGTCCATGGGTGATGACAGAAGACTAGATTATGCTATCGCTAACAAATATATTTCCTTCTTTTGAGGCTTCCAGAAGAGATGCAAATATATGGACCGCCCTCCCACCAGACACCAAAATGTGTTTTATCATCAAAAGAATCCGGCTGAATTCCTCTATCCCCAGGACATTTGCAAACAAAATGTGTGTTATATAACTCAAAGTGTCAAACACTGAAACTGACTGTTCTAAGTAAAATGGTTCCTACCACCAGAACTCAGTTCATGTAAGCAATGGGATGTTTTACTCCAAATTTCTTAGCTGCCAGTAACACAAACTAATCTAAAAAAACCTCTAGCTAAGTCTTGTCTGCTTCCATTGTTGAATGAAATTACTATGATTAAGTAAAAAGGTGGTTCAGGGTTCATATTCAGAAATACATATGGTAGCAATAATCCACAGCACCACATATAATTCCTTAACAATGTGCCCAAAGCAGGTAGCAACAGTAAGTGATAAGAGTTGTGAATTTTAAGCTTGTCTTAACTCAATGGGAGGGGGGGGAGTAGCATCTTGTTTTTAATCAGCAGCTATGCCCTGAAGCAAAGAAAAAGAGAAGCAGATAAGTTGAGTATGAAGGTGCCATTATCGCAATCATTCCTGATTATTACTGCACTTTTGAGGGGGAAAGAAACAATAAGTAGAGTTAATACTCAGAATTACCATGAAAAACCTATTTTGACAAAAGTAGAGGGCCAGCAAAGGTTACCAGTTCTCACAAGTGAACAGGGAAATTGCATCAGGTAATGGGCGTAACAGATGATCCGAGCGCATTTAAGCAGATAAATGAGACAGAGCATTAAAATTTATAGCCGACCTAAAGCTGATTTTCCTTAAGGAGGGAAGGAGCAAGAAAGGAAGAAGCTGGAACCACATTTCAAAGCTGTGAAGTAAATGGAGGGTACCAAAGGGCTGGTTAATCCTTAGTGCTATCTACTGGCTTGTGAGGGACTTAAAAATGGTGCCTAATTAGGCCCGCAATGCCTAGGAAGACAGGCATGTATTTATTACACAGCTATTCACACATAGATACTTGTTTTTGCTCTCTTTCAGCAGGTGTGTCATTTGGCTTGACATCTGTTGTGGAACTCTCTTCGCTTCGTCAGCCAGAAAGAAAAGTGGCTTCAAGAAAAACCACCCTGTGTACCTTCATAAGCTGGGGGGTGGGGTGGGAGCGTGGAACAGTCCTTAGAATCATAGAAAGCCGCTTTATGCTGAGTCAGAGCATTGGACCACATAGCATAGCACTGTCTTCATTGACTGACAGCAGCTCTGCAGGGTTTCAGGTAAAGGGCACACCTACCAAAAGATGCCAGGGATTAAAGCAATGACAAACCTAGACAGTATCTTAAAAAGCAGAGACATCACCTTGCCAACAAAGGTCCATATAGTTAAAGCTATGGTTTTCCCAGTAGTGATGTATGGAAGTGAGAGCTGGAAGTGAAGGCTGATCACTGAAGAATTGATGCTTTTGAATTATGGTGCTGGAGGAGACTCTTGGGAGTCCCATGGACTGCAAGAAGATCAAACCTATCCATTCTTAAGGAAATCAGCCCTGAGTGCTCACTGAAAGGACAGATCCTGAAGCTTAGGCTCCAATACTTTGGCCACCTCATGTGAAGAGAAGACTCCCTGGAAAAGACCCTGATGTTGGGAAAGATGGAGGGCACAAGGAGAAGGGGACGGCAGAGGACAAGATGCTTGTGCAGTGTTCTTGAAGCTACCAGCATGAATTTGACCAAACTGCGGGAGGCAGTGGAAGACAGGAGTGCCTGGCGTGCTCTGGTCCATGGGGTCACGAAGAGTTGGACACGACTAAATGACTAAACAACAACAACTTCTGTTTTCTCTGTTTGTACAGCTTTGGGTGAAGTCCATGTGTGGGTGTATTGGCTCGACCTTCCAACCTATGGAAATCCAACTTCTTAAACTGAACAGCAAAACAAGGTCAGCTTCACTCATACTGATGCTTTATTTATGGTGATGAAACAACAAGCCGGGAGATTCTTGAGAGTGAGGGTTTGCATGGGCAGCATGGGTTTGGTCCTTAGTCATGGGCCATTTTAGGCCTTTGTTTCCCTTTGGCACATCTTAAGAAATGTCATCAAACTACACCTAAAATGGCTCGAGGCCATGGGTTGTAGCCAATGTGGCTCACCTGTGAGTGGAATGGACTTCTGCTTGCATGACAGGCCTTCACCTTCTCTCCACTGAAGGTCCCTGTGTGCCCTCAAAATCTATTCCAAATGACTAGGGAATCATCCAAAACAGATTTTGGGAGGGT